AGCTTGTTGATCTTTTTTAAGTCACTTGCTCTGGTGCTGCTCCCCCATCAGATGATGGCAGAAGAGATAGCGCTCTCTACAACAGACTTATAGAAGATATGCAGCATCTTGCTGCAAACACTGAAGGACTTCAGCTTCATCAAGAAGTACAGTCTGCTCTGTCCCTTCTTGTAGACGCTTCACTGTTGCATTTCCAGTCCAGTCTGTTGTCCAGGTGAACCCCAAGGTATTTATACTTCTCCACCACCTCCACTTCTTCTCCCATGATGGAAATGGTGTTGGACCTGTTCCTGTTTCTCCTGAAATCTACAATCATCTCCTTTGTTTTGTTCACATTCAAGATGAGATGACTGTTTCCACACCATGCCACAAAGCGGTCCAACAGTTCCCTTTACTCAGCTTCTTGTCCATCTCTGATACACCCGACCACTGCAGAATCATCTGAATATTTCTGCAGATGACAGGAGTCTGTTTTGTACTGGAAATCTGAGGTGTACAGAGTGAAAAGGAATGGTGAGAGTACAGTTCCCTGTGGTGCTCCTGAGCACCTGGTTAGACACACAACCCTTCAGTCTCACAAACTGTGGTCTGTTTGTCAAGTAGTCTTTGATCCAGGTGATTGTTGAGGCCTCCACCTGAGTCTTCTGGAGTTTCTGGCAAAGCAAATCAGGCTGGATTGTGTTAAATGCACTGGAGAAATCAAAGAACATGACTCTCACAGTGCTGTCTGCCTTTTCTAGATGACAGGGAGTTTGCTGAAGCAGGTGTATGATGGCATCTTCAACTCCAAGTCCACGCTGATAAGCAAACGGCAGTGGGTCCTGATATGTGCTGGTTTGTTTAGTCAGGTGGGTCAGCAGAAGTCTCTAATAAACTTTTCCATATATTCTGATTTTGTGCTGACTCTGCAGAATTAGTTTTGGACGTGATTTATATGGTGTTAGACTAATGAGTTTCAAATTTTTAAATAAAATAAAGGAATAATTATAATTTTTTTCAACAGGGTTCCCTTGTTCTTTTAGTACCTGCAGTACAGCTTCGTGTCAGACATTTTCACGGTCCTCTCCTGACCACTGGATGGTTTGCGGTTCGGTTCCTTCAGGTCTGAAGGTGGTTTTGTTGCTGGGAAGACTCCAGACCTGCCCCGCCTCTCTGCAGCCTCGCCCTCACAAATTATTTCACTCTCAGCCAATCAGAAAAATTGCTGACCGCGTTGTTAGGCAGATGTGTGTGCCGACAGCCAATCGGAGTCGCTGCTCGGGGAGCGGGCGCTGGTAGTTAGACATACCGATTGACAGTGTCGGAGACCTAGGCAGGATCTTCACGGAGGTTCCGTGAGAAGCCTGCGACGCGGTCAAGATGCCGAACAAAACCAAGAAGGAAAAGGTGAGCTGGCGGTTCTGGGGCCACTTTGGAGGCCATTTAATGATCGAATGCAACGGAGGGGTCGTGATTCGGCTCCTGGAGACCGGGGACGGTGGAGCTTTAAGCGGAGGGGAGCGAAGCTAAGGCCCGCTAGCGGCGGAGCTGACCGTCGCTGCGGAGCTCCGGACAGCTGTTAATATGTATCCACGCAACACTATCCGTGTTGAGCCAAGTCAGGATTAATTCATGGTTTGTTGTGGTTTTAGTGGATTAAATCCTAGGGGGAATGCGCGTGAGGAACGGTTTGTTGGACCGTTAGCTGCAGCCGGAGCCCCGCGAGGAGCCGCGGGGTTCCTCCGCCTGAAGGCAGCGGAGCTCGGCTAGAAACTGTCCCCGAGCTGCGGGAGCACGGGCGGCAGGGCCCGCGGTGTGGGGTGGGGGGCGGTTGCACCCCGCAGACACCCGCAGGTGCTCGGGTTCTCACCTGAGGACACCGGCTACATGATCAGCAACCGAACAATCAGCTGATTGGACTGGTCCCGGTCCGGACTGGTTGGTGGGACCAGGTTTAAGATGACCGTCCCGCTCTGACAGCAGGGATTATTATGGGATGTTACAGATTCAGATCACAGTTTTGTTTCCATGAACCAGAACCAGAAGGTCAGGACGCTGGGTCAGATCCGTCCCTACACCTAACAGGATGGTTCATCTGTTGGTGTCATTAGATCCATCACAGTCAGAGTCCAGGTTCTCCTGAGGTTCTGAAGAGAACACGATTACGTTTCAGGTCTGATTTGATTTTGAAGGTCCAACAGAACAACAAATGGTTCAGAAGTAATCCTGGCCCATTTGTTTCCATCTACAGGTTCTGTGGGTCCATGTGGTTCTGTCAGGTGTTGATCTGGTGGGCTCAGTCAAGAAAGAATCAAAATCTCTTCTGTCTTTTTTTTATTCACATCATTTTCTGAATCGTTTGTTGTCAGACGGCTTTCAGTCCAGGTCAGAACTCAGTCCAGGTCAGGACTCAGTCTGGACTCAGTCCAGGTCAGGACTCAGTGGGGGTCAGTCCAGGTCAGGACTCAGTCGGGGGTCAGTCCCTGTGGTAATGTTGTATCTTGTGTTGATGACATCAGAGCTGCAGTGATTGATCCCTGACTATTTTCCTTCATATGAATCAATAACAGATGAATGAGTCTCTGCTCTATGAACCTGATTATTGTTGTTGAACTTTATTTGAAGCCAACTTTTTATTTTCTTTCTGACCGCATCAAACTGGTTCTGATGCTGGACAGAACCAGTCTGATGCTGTCAGAACCAGTCTGATGCTGTCAGAACTAGATACCTGGTTTGGAATTGCAGCTGCACTCTGTGGACATTAACCTCAGTGTGATCCATCAGATATATCCAGAACAGAACCATCGCTTGTCTTTTTTTTTGTCCACCTTGTGCTCCTCTTATGTCTGAGCTGGTTCTGGTTTAGTTCTGACTCGGTTCTGTTGTTTCATTTTGTTACAGGAAACAAATAAATCCAAAAGCAGCACGAAGAACAGTAACAGTAGTAGTGGAGGCAAAGATGGCACCTTGGAGAACTCTGACGAGGTGGGTCACATGACCAGCAGAGCGACCGTTCTCCTCAGTCACATGACATAAAGATGATCGAAGCTGTACCTGCATGGACCTTAAATACGTTCCTGAAAGTTCTGTAGATCAGTAGTTCTGTGTTGATACTGGATCAGCAACATGTGACCGTTTGTTTCCTCTCACAACAAGCAGCAGAGCGCCAGCAAGCGTCCCGGTAACAGCACCCCACCCCCCACCCAGCTCAACAAGATCAAATACTCCGGAGGTCCTCAGCTGGTGAAGAAAGAGCGCCGCCAGAGCTCCTCTCGCTTCAGCCTGACCAAGAACCGGGAGCTGCAGAAACTTCCTGCCCTCAAAGGTAACAAAACTTAAAAAGACTAAAATCTGATCCTGACCAAAAAAACTGGAAGGTGCAGGATCTGCCGGACCGGCTAGTTGTAGCCCTAAACCTGACATGACCTCACTGATCTAAGCCCCGTCCCCTCCCTGTGGTTGTCAGATGCCCCGCCAGTGGAGCGAGAGGAGCTGTTCGTGCAGAAGCTGCGTCAGTGCTGCGTTCTGTTCGACTTCATCAGCGATCCGCTCAGTGACCTCAAGTACAAAGAGGTGAAGAGGGCGGGGCTTAATGAGATGGTGGAATACATCACGCACAACAGCGAAGTGGTCACTGAATCCATCTACCCCGAGGCCGTCCTCATGGTGAGACCACAGGGCTGGTTCTGCATCTGTCCTGCTTTAACATCACGGTTCTGATCATTACAAGCTGAACCAGAACCACCTTTGTTCTTTCATCTCAGTTTTCTGTCAACGTGTTCCGTACGCTTCCTCCGTCCTCGAACCCGACCGGAGCCGAGTTTGACCCTGAGGAGGATGAGCCCACGCTGGAGGCGGCTTGGCCCCACCTGCAGGTACGTCACCTGTTGAGCAACCAGCAGAACCAACTGTCAGAACAGAGCTCCCCCAGGCATGTTGCTGTGGGAGGGGGCTACAAGGGTGTCATCATGTACCGTAAGCTTTTCTCCCTGCACGTCCTGCTGCACGCTTGGTAATCCAGGTAGATGATTGTAACCAGGTTCTGGACCCGACTCAACCCGGTCACATTTTCTCACTAGTGTTTTCTGCAGAGTTTCTCACAGAACTTAGAACTTCTTGTTATAAAAAAGAAAGAGGAAAAAAAACACTTTTTGAGTGGGTTGCAACCTTTTTGAATAAATGTTATTCAATAGATGATCAAATACAATAAAAGATCAATAGTTTTTTTGCATTGATTCTGTTGAATCTGTTGTTACTCATCTCAATCACAGCTTTTACTGTTCAACCACTTTTAGTGACAAGAAAACATTTTCTAACACAACAACCCTCGTCTTTGACATTCAAGTCACAATGTGATTACATTAATAAAACTCTAAAAAGATGACACTGAAAGAACGTTTTAACCTTCATATAACTTTGTTATACATATTCATAAAGGTGATGTTTTAATAATTACGGCTCAGGTAGCTTTGCACAAAATAACCTGAAAATGCCATTTATCTTTGTCAGTCTGATTATTTCAGATACAGATATTCTTTATTGTCATTAGCACCACACGTGGTACTTGTGGTGGAATGTAATTATGTTCACAGGGTCCCAGTTACATCCAACAGTAAAATGTAAAAGAAAAACAGTAATAAGATATGAACTAAGAAAAACATCAACTTAATAATACACTAATAGCATAAAAACAATAAATGCAATACGCTGAACAGCAGCACGAACATGAGTCTGTGTGAGCAGATGAGGATGCATGAACACAGATCAGCAGCAACATGAAACAGATCAGCAGCAGCATGAAACAGATCAGCAGCAACATGATGGGATTTTTCAGTGATTATTCTGGTTAGAGATTCATGAGTCTAACAACCTCAGGGTAGAAGCTGTTCCTCAGTCTAGTGGTTCTACATTTAATGCTCCTCAACCTCCTTCCTGAGGGGAGTGGGGCAAAAAGTGTGTGTGCTGGGTGAGTGGGGTCCTTCATGATGCAGGTGACCCTCTTCCTACATCTGGAGGTGTAGATGTCTGTGATGGTGGGGAGACCGACTCCAACAGTCTTCTGCCTTAAAACCACTTTTTTTTCCACTCACAGAGACTATATTTTATAGATTTCAGCTCATTGGGTCATTTAGTACAATTAATTTTTCATATTTGATCATTTATTGAATAACATTTATCTCAGAATGGTTTTAATATAGACAAGCTTAGCACAAATGGATAACCTTGTTAATTTGGCTGTAATCCAGTTTAGAGTACAAACCTGCAGATATTTATGATAAACCACAAACACATAAAAAGGTCATGGGAGACCTTTGCATTATTCCTGGTCCTACACAAAAACATGTTTTAGTGTTAACTGGTTGATTCTCAACATTAAAGCTGCAGAATGACAGAGTTTACTGGAAGAGACTCCAACAGGCCGCAGCAGAGTTTGGTCATGCATAAGTCAGACGTGTCTGCATGCTGATGATGGCTCGATGAGCTAAAGTTACATTTTAGATACAAAAGTCCTGTGAGGTTGTGGTGGGGGGAGGGGGTCACGGGGCATCAACAGAACCGGACCTGAACCACCAGGCGTGTCTTTGTGTCCACAGTTGGTGTACGAGTTCGTTCTTCGCTTCCTCGAGTCTCCAGACTTTCAACCTAACATCGCTAAGAAGTACATCGACCAGAAGTTTGTTTTGTTGGTAAGACACCACCTGTCTGACTGTAACCAGAGGACACAGGTGAAGACCTGACTGTCTCACCTGTCTTCCAGCTGCTGGAGCTGTTCGACAGTGAGGACCCCAGGGAGAGAGACTTCCTAAAAACCATCCTCCATCGGATCTACGGGAAGTTCTTGGGCCTCCGGGCCTACATCCGCCGACAGATCAACAACATCTTTTACAGGTGAGAGACAGACACCTGAGAGAGAGACAGACACCTGAGAGAGACAGACAGACAGACAACTAAGAGACAGACAGACAGACACCTGAGAGAGACAGACAGACAGACAACTAAGAAAGAGACAGACAGACAGACAACAGAGAGAGAGAGAGAGATCCATCCATCCATCCATCCATCCATGCATGTCAATAACAGAGACTTTATCTTAAAAGAAGCCAAACCATAACATGAAAAACACATTTTCACACTCAGAAACATCGTAAACATTCAGAAACATTGCACACATAGTTACTGCACCGTAAAGCTTCAAATTCAAAAATACTTTATTAATCCCAGAGGGAAATTATTTGTTGTAGCAACTCGTTATCCTCATTCCATTAAGAGATGTTATAAATACTGATGGCTGTAGACATGAAGGATCTCTTGTAAAGGTCCATCCCACAGTGGATCCTAAGAAACTGGCTGCAGATGCCGTCCGATCCGTCCACCCAGACTTGGCTGGCCTCTCGATTCACCTGGGCTGTAGGACCACCCAAATGTTGGGCAGAACTCCTCCCAGAGCGATGGCCATTCCTTCCAGCAGTCTGCTGAGCTCCTCGTCGCTGCGGACAGCCAACTGTAGGTGCTGAGGAATGATCCTGTCCTTCCGCTGTCATGATTCATGTTTCCTGCTAGTTCCAGGATCTCAGTGGTCAAGACACTCGAGCACAGCTGGCAGGTAGATGAGAATGCGTCCACAGAGCATCCTTTTTAACTCATTTGAGATTTGGGGCTGTAGTTGAAATATTATTTGAGCTTTTGAGATTTAATCAGCTGCTGTTGGTTGTAGAAAACTGCCTTGTTGCCATGGTAACGCATCATAACAAATGTCCAAAACTAAAAAAAGATTCAGTAAAAATCCTTCCAGCTGCACAGCATCTGATACCAGAGGAAACAGTCATCCAAAAAATGTGATTTACATCCAGAAAAAGAGGAATTAAAGTTTCCAAAAGCAAAATCTCAGAATGAAAGTAACAGAGCTGCTCCAACATGCATCCAACCTGGAGCGGCACAATTCTAGAACTTTTCACAACGCTCACAATGTCTCTGGGATGTGACCTTCTCACACATTTCACACCTATTTAATTTAATACAAACAAATTTATTATTGAGAGAATATTGATGATGACTCTCAGCAACTTTGTAGTTAGTTTATATTGTAAAAGTCATTAACCACAAAGAGTATCGTTAAGTGAGTTATTTCATTAAAGTAAATGACACAAGGGAGCTATCCGACACATTGAATGCATCACTCTGCTTCAGCACAGCAGAGTTCTGCTCCACCTCTTTGGTTCTGATGGACCAGTTTAATTTCTGAAAGCTCTCATCTGAACGGGACATGGACACGTGTGATTTATGAACTGTTTTGAGTTGTGTTCACTTACAACGTTGTCGCATTACAGACAGTCTTAGAGTGTCAGTGACAGCAGTGGATGATAAAAGTTAGTGCTTTAGCATTAGCGTCCGCTATTTATTTATTTATTTGTTTAGCGGTTTAGCATTAATGTAACAAAATTTTTAGTTAGCAAATTACCAGTTAGTGAAGCTAACTTTTTCATTAGCTGTGTGTCCACCACTTCCCCCGTCTAAAGACAGATGTATTATGATGTGTTGTAGTCTCCATTCGGATGTAAACGTTCTCTTGTCCTGCCCATAACCCAGTCCTTCTCAAATAGTGGGGCGCGACCCCCTGGGGGGGCCCGGGGCAATGCCAGGGGGGGCGCATGTGACCCTAGAAAACATGCTTTTTTTGCCGCAGGGAGTAGTTATTTTTTTTCACCATTCTCACTTTGTCGCGTGCGTTCCTAATAAGTTATGAACAAATATGGCTGCCTTGTCATTTTGGGAGCCATGCATGACCCGTGTCTCTCTCCTCTGCGGCTGACGTGATAAATAAACTCGACCGTCACCTCCTCCGTCCTCTACTGCTGTTTTTATGTCCACGCGCTCTGGACGTCACTCACAGCTCGCATGCAAAAAAGAGTAAACTCAAGCGAGAGCGACACCTGCCCCCTCTTTCCTCTTTTGCGTTGACTAAATGTTTTAGTTTTATTGATGAGTTTGTCAAAGCACAATTTACAGAAGTAATGTTTAATAAATGTTAGGACTTGATTCTTTGCTAACAAAATTAATTCACCTCCTCAGTTAAGCTGCTGTTTTTATGATGCTCTGGACGCTTGTCACTCACAGCACGCAGGCGACAAAGAGTAACTCAAAACAAGAGGGTTACCTGCCCCCTCCTTCCTCTTTCGCGTTGACAATTGACAACAGAGAAAATAATTGAGAAGCACTGCCATAACCTGATAATTTAAGATAATTCAACAAAACTTCATACATTTCTGCATCATCACTGGATGGAATATCCTATGCACTTTTCATTGCCCTAGCTCTAAGGCCAAGGTCATGGTCACAAATCAAGGTCAAGTGTTATTTAAGGCCTTTGCTATAGATTTCTGAGTTGCTGTATAATTGTTTTTTGAGGAGCGTACGATGTGCCGTGTGCACTACTCTTGTTAAAATCTGGGAGAATGTTTACAGCAGGAACTCCTCACCAACATCGGGATGCACAAAGTTGCTGGAAGACTCCAATAATTCTCAGTCAGTTCATCTATACAGTTTCTTTTTTATAGAGACGTTTCGCCCTCTATCCAGAGGGCTTCATCAGTCAGAGGAGCTCCAGCAAACTGGTTGGTCCACTAAGTTTACTGCGTGGTGGGGAAACAGTTTACTGGAACTCCTCAGACTGACGAAGCCCTCTGGATAGAGGGTGAAACGTCTCTATAAAAAAGAAACTGTCCAGATGACCTGACTGAGGATTATTGGATTTGATACCTGGATGATTGAGCATGAACTTTGTTGCTGGAAGACTGTTTTCTACTGTCTGAGTAGAACCACTGGACAGAACCGAGGTCACAACTCACCTTACAAATCACTGATCTACCACACTGAAGTCAGTGGACACAGCTTGAAAATAAGACCAAAGGAAAACCTCAGTAGTCAACCTCACATCCACCCTGCCTCCTGCCCCACAGACACTCACACAGGAACACCAGAGAGAGACAGACAGGAATACCTGCATGAGAGAGAAAGACAGAGAAGAACATCTGAGAGAAAGACACGGATAGGCACGAACACAGAACACCAGGATGCAAAAGATACAGACAGACAGACTGAAATATGAGAGCAACAGGAACTAAAAGACCAACCAATAGATGGGAACGCCTGAGCTAGAGAGACAGGAACACCTAAATTAGAGAGAGACAGGAACCTCTAAAGCCAGATAGACCAGCAGAAACACCTGAGAGAGACAGCCTGGTACTTCCTGTCCCACTGCTGTTTGTTCTGCAGGTTCATCTATGAGACGGAGCATCACAATGGTATCGCTGAACTGCTGGAGATCCTGGGCAGGTGAGTTTGGCCTTGGAATCCTGTATCACCTGCTGACCTCTGACCTGTATCACAACCTTTGACCTGTGTGGCCTGTGTTTGTTCCAGCATCATTAACGGCTTTGCTCTGCCGCTGAAAGAAGAACACAAGATGTTTCTGATCCGAGTTCTGCTGCCGCTGCATAAAGTAAAGTCTCTCAGCGTGTACCACCCTCAGGTGTGTGGATCTACCTGTCGTTGGGTTTGGTTTATCCGTTGTTAGATTACTGACTCTGTGTGTGTGTGTGTGTGTTTGTGCAGCTGGCCTACTGTGTGGTTCAGTTCCTGGAGAAGGACAGCAGCCTGACAGAGCCAGTGAGTAAACTCCACACACTGTTGCCATGACAATACTAGGGTATGGTCATTGGGCTCTGTTTGGTTTCCAGAGCAACGAAAACATGTCAGTGTCTGAACACGTTTCCCTGCAGGTGATCATGGGTCTGCTGAAGTTTTGGCCCAAGACTCATAGTCCGAAAGAGGTAATGTTCCTGAATGAGCTGGAGGAGATCCTGGATGTCATTGAGCCAACAGAGTTTGTCAAAGTTCAGGAGCCACTTTTCAGACAGCTTGCCAAGTGTGTGTCCAGCCCTCACTTCCAGGTAAAAGAACCAGAAGATTTGGACAGTCTGAAGGTAGAGAGGTTCTGATGCAGACGGTGTTGTTTGTTCAGGTAGCAGAGAGAGCTCTGTATTACTGGAACAACGAGTACATCATGAGTCTGATCAGCGACAATGCTGCCAAGATCCTCCCCATCATGTTCCCTGCCCTCTACAAGAACTCCAAGAGCCACTGGAACAAGTAAGACACACCCGAGACACACCCGAGACTCTACTGAGACTCTACTCAGGCTCTACTGAGACTCTACTGAGACTCTGCTCAGTAGAGCCTGAGTAGAGTCTAAGTAGTGTCTCAGTAGAGTCTCAGTAGAGCCTGAGACTCTACTCAGGCTCTACTGAGACTCTACTGAGGGTGCATTTACACCAGCCTTGTTTAGTCCGCTTTAATCGAACTCTAGCTCATTTTCCTAGAAAGTCCGGTTTGTTTAGGGAGGTGTGAACGCTCCATCGAACTCTGTCACGGAACAAAAAGGCGAACTCTGGCCCGGGCTAAAACCTAGGTCTCGGTCCGGTAGAAGAGAACTCCAGCACGGTTCGAGTACAGTGTGAATGCAAACAGACCAGGCCCCGCTCTGCAGGGTAAACAAACACGCATTGCTCTTGTAGATGAACAGATGCTGTAATATATTCATCATTTAACGCGAGTTCCTCATTTTTCTGGACTGAATAAAACGTGCATTGAATTTAAGGAAATGCAAACGTGAGACGTCATTTAAATTTGACCCATCAAAATGAATGCGGTCATTTATTTACAGAATCAAATTTAACATCAAACATTTACATTAATTTGGCAAATTATGAAAATAACAACAAAGCAATCAATCAGGAAAAATCATACGGCCATGATTTCTCCGTTGCTGCACCAACAGACATTTATAACTGTACAACTATGATCTTTTACCCACATGAATGTGGGTAAGCACTTTACACAGACATTTCTAAATATCTGGGAGAATTTCTACTTGATAGAAAAGTTTAAGATGAAAGATGAAGTTTAAAGGGGAGAAAGATGGTGTTTGAGGTAGAGTGTTGAACAGAACGGCACTCTCCGGGCTTTCTTCAGCTTTCCTCACAGTACACTTAGGTGGTGAAAACGACTCTTTTACCTGGAGATGTCTCAGGCGAGATTCCGTTTAACGCACCCTTTCAGCGTCTCCGTAGGATGCTGTTACTCGTCCGGAGTAGCTGCGAGGTTCTGTCAGCCACAGCTCACCTCAGTGGAAAATGTTATAATCCCATGGAACTCGGAAGAGCTTCGTTGTCATGTCAGGAACTCCAACAGCACTCCATCAGAACTCCAGAACTCTAGAAGTCTGACAACTCTCCAACTCTGAGTACCTGTGTGTCTCTCCGTGTCCCTGTGAGTTCGTGTCTGAGAGTCCGTGTAGACCAGGAAGTACTGACCTTTTAAAGACTCTTTCCCGGTTCACTTTTGGGATTTTTCATTGGTCAGAAACGACCAGAAGGGGTGTGTTTTTGTGACGTAAGAGGTTAGAGACAGCGAGAATTGTTATGAGACAGCTCAGAAATGTTCTCACAGACCGAGAGGGTTCTGTTTTGGCGTGCCTTAAGAAACAGGTGCAAAACATCTCTATTTACGTCTGAGAGGATTCTAAAACATGACAGTTTTAACATAACAACTTGTTTTTCGTTTGACTGTAACCTTGTAAACGCACACACTTGCTCATTCAAAAGCAGAAATCAGAAAAATGCATAAACTCTGCACAGCTTTTAACATGAGAATAAAATCATTACTCAGTTAATAAAATTGATTAGTTCACTGCAACATCTAAAATGGTTTGAACTAAGACACTTTGATTATCAACATTTGTAAGATAGTAATGATAATAAAAAGAGAGTGTTCTTTTCACTTGAATCTTCAAGAAAGAAAGTCTCAGGATGGGTGAACCTGTATTTATGGAGTCAAATACATGAAATGACAGCTTCTGTCCCACAAGGTTCTAAAGGTCAAGAGTTTTGACCTTAGACTGGGTTTCGACGTAGGCTTAGTCCACTACAGTCCCCCCTTTGGAAATCATCACCTGTCCATGGAGATGAATTCCAACTATGGACTTACGTCGTCGATCGTCCTTGAAGCTTGATGTAATCCAGCAAAGAAACAAGAGTCAAGAGTAATCCAGCAAGGAAAACAAAAGTCAAGATAATCCAGCAAGGAAAACAAAAGTCAAGGTAATCCCACAATGTTCTTGGTAATTCCATTGTGTTGATTATAATTCCATATCGTCTCGATAATCCATTGTAGCAATGCTTTAACCCCTTGGAAACAGAGTCTGTAATCCACTGGAAAAAGTCATATAATCCACAATGGTAAATCCACAACGATTGGAAGTGTTGATTAATCAGCATACAGAGGGGTACCCTTGGATTGAACTGAAGAAGCGGCCACCGGATGAAGAGTGGAGACCAACGTCAGGATTGCAGGTCGCCTCCAGCGAAGGTTGTCTCCAGCGACGTCCAGCCTGTGCCGTTCTGGTTCAATGTGTCATGCAATTATGTGGTTTAAGGTGGGCTTATGAAGGGGATTTTACATAAGGCCTTAAACTATATGCACCTGGTGTGTAAGCTATTATGGTTGAGAACAGCTACGACTACCAGTTAAGGGGTGGAGCATGCTGAAAAGGGGTAACTACAGGGGTTTAAGCCTATAGAAAAGGGTTCCAAACTATTTTTCCATTTCTAACTTGGCTTAAGTTAGCTTTACATGGCAAAATATAGTTTGGTTCAAATGTCTGTTGTCTTTTAGACGAACGACTTGAGATTGGGTGTTTGGTTTTCCCATAAATGTTTTGGAAGTCTATGGCGAGACTTATCAAAAAGAATTAGCTATCCCCCCGAATAGAATTGTTCGAGTAGGTTCGGCTTAAGCGATGTGAGACCAATGTAGATTATGGTACTTATGGTAACAATAATATACATTGACTCCGCAAGGATTGCAATTTAGCGAATGAACTGCATGTTGGCATGGTCAAAGGCTTCTTAGTCTCTAACTTACTACACACAAGATTCATCCTTACCTCAGAAACAACCAAAATCAACTAAACAACGTTTCAACACCGACAAGAGTAGTGACTAAGCATCTAGAAACATCGTTTCACTGCTCCTCCTCACCCTGGTTGTCAGTTTCAGTCGCGCTGTCCCGTGTGAGTGGCTTCTTTGCGGACCCGCTTACGCGAGGCATAATCATATCGAGGTGCGCTGCATGGCGATCCACGTCGACTCGGAGTGACGTTTGGCCCCGGGACAGGGATGCGAGTATCCCACACAATACGAGGGTTATCGTCATTAGCAGGGCTATGATTAATGTGTCCGCGCTCGACCACGCATAGTTAATTGGTTGGATCGGGTTCTTAGTTGTGGACCTGAGGGACTTGAGAACTTGGTTTATTGGTTCCACGTCGACGACTTGGGTGCCTTCAAAACGGATCCTTCCCAGAGTCTCTGGATCTATGTCTATAGACATATTTCTCAGGTACTCTGAGTCATCCAGAGTCGCGTCCCATCGTTCCGGATCGAGGTGATAGAGCGTCAAATCACCAATGTGTATGGTTGTTCCCTGGGGAACACTGATCCACATCGTTTTGTCCGGTAACGTCAGAGGTCTATTTGCCCCGGGTTGATCGTAGGCTATGATCGCCTGTCTTTGAGGAGCGTTCACTAGCCAACGAGAGCCAATTATTTCCGCTTTTGCATCTTTAGCCAGGTGTCGAGGCGTTACGGTCGTTGAGCACTTCGAATTTTCCGGAATAGGTGTTAATCCGCATATGCCCGCGGTTTTATTCCACATAAACGGTTTGCTCGGGCACAGATAGTGTATCTCCCGAGTGAGAACACACATCTGCAGGTTTGGAGCTAGGTAAACGGAGGGGTTGTCGTCGTGGTACGCAACCATCCTTGGTGTGTCAATTTGAACATGGTTTTCGCCGTGCCAATTGCCAACATTTACGACGTCCCTGAGTCTATATATGCCGTTTAAGGGAATTATCGGTAGGTTGATAATGAACGCCATTTCAAATGTTTTGTCATTGACGTAGATTGGGATTGCGCTACCGAGAGTGTAAGCCAGGTGTGCCTGTGTTTGCGTAACTTTTTCGTGCGTAGCGGAGCTGAGGATGTCGTTCACCATCTGTAGAGAGACTAGATACGGTGGGATCCTACCGGTGGCTAGTGTATCTACCGACGAACTGATATCTCTAAGCATGTCAGCAAAAATCCTATCCATTAGGTGTGCGACAGCGTAATCCGCTTCAACCTTAAGGGCTAACTCATTTACCGCTATTACGAGGGCTTTGATCTCTTGAGTGTGAGTCAAGAGGGTGAAGATTACCAGTAGTGGTATCATCATTGTCCTATGGAAACACAAAGAGATAGGTCTTAGCTTCGTAATGGTCAAGGGTAGGTCCTGTGAATTTAAACTATGGTTAAGTTT